ATGTATATAACATAAATTATTAACCTTATACTCCAACCATCTTGTAAGAGAGACACTTTATATATACAAGTGCTTAAAATAATTCCAGGCACATAATGCTCACTATATACATGTTTACTATCAGTAATATTTTATAAATGAAGAAACTGAGGCCCTAGAATACTTAAGTAACTTGTCCAATATCACAGGTTTTTTTTTTTTTTAAGATTTTATTTATTTATTTGCCAGAGAGAGAGAGCACAAGCAGGGGGAGTGGGAGAGGGAGAAGCAGGCTCCCCACTGAGCAGGGAGCCTGATAAGGGACTCGATCCCCGGACCCTGGGATCATGACCTGAGCCGAAGGTAGATGCTTAACCGATTGAGCCACTCAGGTGTCCCCAATATCACAGTTTGTAAGTGGCACACCTGGTATTAGAACATCATCCTGTTTGTGTTCTACTGTGAGGTCTTTCCACTCACTAGAACTCAAGTCACATTTCTGCCTTACATTGGCTGAGTTGCCCAGGAAATAAGATCCTTCTCTATGTACGTGAATTCTCTCTTGTAGGGAGTGAAAAAAAAAATTTATTACTATGTCAGAAGGCGAATTATTGGAAATGAAGGTATAAGTTGGAAGCTCAATGTAACAAATTAAGTATATTTTTTAAAGATTTTATTTATTTATTTGACAGAGAGAGACACAGCAAAAGAGGGAACACAAACAGGGGGAGTGGGAGAGGGAGAAGCAGGCTTCCCGCGGAGCAGGGAGCCCGATGTGGGGCTGGATCCCAGGACCCTGGGATCATGACCTGAGCCAAAGGCAGATGCTTAACAACTGAGCCACCCAGGTGCCCCCAAATTAAATATTTGATAATTCAATTCAAACAGCTCTTTTATAAGGTGGTTGGAGTATAAGGTTGATAGGTTATGTAAAGTCCTTGGCATATTGCAGACACACCAGAAATGTGCATTTTCTTTCAATATTCCATTCCTCGAGAATTCCTAAGTGTTCTGTTTAACATTTTTGTGTCAGTCGGCATCAGAGAGATTCTCATTCAGTGACTGTATCTTAGTATGTCCTTTCTCTTTTGACCACACTCAGGTTTTCTTCACCTCTATAAATCTGGGCACATACCTTTTCACTGTTCTCTTCCACTTCTCCCTTATCACATAGCTTTTAGGTGTTCTTCCTCTTCCCCTGTTAAACTTTTCCATTCCCTTTCTATTCACTGAGTGATCACCACCTGAGACTCACTGATGTGACTTTATTTTATTTTTTTCTTTTTAACTAAACTATCTACTAAGCTATAAGAAGATACTGGGGACTTCCAGCCTCCTTGATGTGAAGCAAATGACAACTTCGGAATGTCAGTTTCTGTAGCCACGGGATATGTGTAATAAGATACGTTATGTTTTCCTCCAACAAACCCTGTGAAGAATCAGGTCTCAGGGCTATGGTTTCAAGTGGCTTGTGTATAACTTCATTTTTCACCTTTGACTAGAGCCAGGAATTCTCACAAGAATTGGTGATCAGCATAATCAGGAACAGAGTGTACAAATAAGTTCTGCTGAGCTCAAGGGTGGAGAGGTAGGTGGGGCAGGATAAAACACTTACTGAAACATCTGGCAATCTTTCCATAAGAAGTGGAAACTGAAACAGTAGGAGTAGAGGTTACAAAGTGTCTTGAAGGCAAACCTCTGGAAATAGTAATCTTACCCTACACATATGATACCTTGTTTTCATCTTGTGATAATGCAAATATGTAGAGGAATGTCACTACAGAAGTTTAGTTATTTCTTAGAAAAATGATTTGATACAATTTTGCTATTAAAAATAACAAAGCAAAAATCATCCCAAGAATATTTTGGCAATGAAGAAAATTTAAATGCAACATAATGTTGTGGCACCATTATGACTGGAAAGTTAAATTTTTTCTTCAGAATTAATAAAAATAAATTATGTATACTCATTTATTTTCCAGATTTTCATTTTTCAATATAAAAGTTACGTTCATCTTTAAAAATGCTGAACAATTCAGAAGATAAAAAGGAAAAGTGAAAGACAACGTCCTCATACCTCCTTTCCAAAGAAAGTTTCATGTTCATGTTATGCTCAGGTTCATACTATGCCAGGTTTATTGCAAAGTACTAAGGGTATAATGCCAAATATGATATGATCTCTGTTAATAAGGAAACTTAAAAGTCTAATACAACTCTTAGCTATGAAATAAGTATGATAAGGTGCCATGATGGAAGTATATACATGATACAATGGAGAGCTTGGTCACTTCTATCTGGTAGGGGTAAAGGAGATCAGGAAGGGTTTGAGGGAGGAAATGGCCATTGAGTTGAGTTGACTTTAAGATGTTCCACATTATATGAAAGCAAAAATGGGAGTGTTTACGGGGTTGGGCTGACATAGTCAGACAGATACATGAGAGAAAAACCATGGCATTCTTAAGTAACTTTGTGTTTTTGGAGAACAATAAGCAATGTGTTCTGGCTGATGTGTAGAGTTGGAAAGGGAAGAAGCTGACAAGAAGTAAGTATAGAAAATTATAAAGGGCCTATTATATCATACTCAGGTATTTTGATTCTAAGTCCATAAATTGAGCTCACAGAAGGATTTAAACAGGAAGTGACATAATGAATTTTGTGTTTTTAGAAGACCATCTAGGCTGCAATGAGGAGGGTGAATTGAAGGAGAGGAAATTGGATGAGCTAATAGCTAGGATTTCGCACTAGTCTAAACATGAGATTAGAGGAATCTGAACTGAAGTAGTATGGGAATGAGGAGGAGGAATCAGGTGCTGAGGAGGTAGAGTTTAAAGAATTGGCAACTGGTTAGAAGTGGAGTCTTTACTTTTACTTTCTTTATTGGAATACAAGTAAAGAAAGACATAGGTTGACTAGGTCCCATAGGATGTTATGTAGATGGTGCTGCTGATAACTGAGATAGAAGCTACAGGAAGAATTAAGAACGATGATGAATCCAATTTGAGTTTGAGATGCCTGGAAGAGAAGGAACATGCACTTGTATTTGCCCAAAGACACTTGTATATGCTGCATGTGGGGTGCAGGTAAGGATTCTGAGCTACATTTGTATGTGAGAATTGTTGACATTTTGGTAAGAATTAAACTTTCTGAGAATGAGCAAGATCACCGAGGATGAGAGCGTAAAATGAAAAGACAAAAAGCCCAAAGGAATAGAGTATCAAGGAGAGAATCTTAGGCAATATACCAACTCAGGGGAGGGATACTGAGAGATTTCAATAAAAGCTACTAAGAATGAATGGCAGACAGTGGCAGAAGTGGGCCAGGAGAGAGAGACATTAAGGAAGCCAAGAAACAATAACTTCATGCTAGACGGAAAAGTCAATAGTAACAGATAGTGAATTTTAAAAATAATAAGCAATAAATACTGCAGAAAGTTCAAGTAAAAAGAAGGTTAAAAACAATTTATTGTTTTAGCAATAAGAAAAAAATAGATTATTGGTAATTTTTAATAGCAGGGGTTTGAAAGGACCATAGTTAAATAGGAAAATAAATAATTTGTCATTTTCTTTTTTTAAAATTTCTTTCTTTTTGAGAAGCCAGCTATATAAAGATAAAGTGTTAGACCTGAGGTATTATGAGTTTGTGTGAATGCTTTTTAAAATTATTTTTTAAGATGTGAGATTCTAACTCAATTGCAGCTTGAAAAGAAGCACAGCAAAAGTGCATCATGGTAATAATATATCAGAGAGAGAAAGAATAAAATCACTGATAGGCTAAAATTCCTACTGAAGACTAAATATAAACCTATCAAAAGAATATGAAAACCTATTTGGGTTTAAGAAAAAAATAAAAACCCTTTAATAATAAATTCAAGTTTTACTTTCCCCCTACTTACATTAATTACAATAGTCTCAAATTTCTCTAGCTTTTTAGCTTCACTTCCTCAGCTAAAGCATAAACCCTTCATTGAAGTGTCATAGCATAAATTGATTCACATCACATCTAATTGAGTCAACAAATTTTTGGTGCATATTTACTTTTTTCTTTTTTTTTTTTAAAGATTTTATTTATTTATTTGACAGAGAGAGACACAGCGAGAGAGGGAACACAAGCAGGGGGAGTGGGAGAGGGAGAAACAGGCTTCCCGCGGAGCAGGGAGCCCGATGCGGGGCTCGATCCCAGGACC